GAAGACATGTGAGAATAAAAGAGAGGGAAAAAAAATATCACGTACTTTTTTTTTTTTGGAAATATAATGAAAACTAAAGCAACATAAAAAAAAAGCTTTATACTGGGCACAATCTTGGGAGACTAACTCCCCTCAAGTCATTACGAAGCAATTCCAAACAAGTCGTTGGAGGGATATCCAGCACAATCAGTTGTCCATCCTGATGAGGTGCATGAGTGGCAAGCCAATCAGCAACAAAATTTCCTTCTCTATAAGTATGACTAAGCTGAATAATACAGTCTCTTTGAAGCATGCTACGAGCTCGGATGATTAAAGCAGGAAGAGGATGACTTACGTCACACATTTTTCTTATAAATTCCAAAGTCACCTTGGAGTCACCCTCCACAAAGACTCTCCTAAATCCCTTATGCCAAGCCAGATCCATACATGTCAAGAACCCCCAAATTTCTGCTGAAGTAGAAGTACCACTCCCAAGGAATTTTGTAAAACCAGTTAACTAGTTCCCAGTAGCATCCCTTATGACTCCACCACATGCAGTCATTTGCCCACTGTCTATGCTGGAACCATCCACATTAAGTTTAACATAACCCTCAGAGGGAAAATTCCAGTGAATAAGACGCTCCTCTCTTCTAAGCTCCTGATGACCAATCTTAATAAGGGTTTCATTAGCCAATTGAATATTACCACAAGTATAGGTAATGCGCCTAATGAGACCATACTTCGAGGTGCTAATTTGATCAAAGATCGCCTTATTTCTTTTCCCCCACAAACACCAAGCTATCACCCCAAAATACAAAGGCCAAGTTCGATCAGTTTGAAACGGACCTTTTAATCCTAGATTTGTCTGAATCCATAGGTGAAGATCCATGGAGAAAAAGTCACTACGGTTATCAGAAGGAACCCAATGCTCCCATAATTCCCTAGCACCAGGACAATCTCTAATGGCATGTAAACTATCCTCAAGATTATAATGACATCTCAGACACGCTGCATCTGTAGCCATGTGACGATGCACTCTACGAACATTAGTTAAAAGAGAACCTCTGTAGAGAAGCCATAAGAATTGTCTAATACGTTCAGGACCAGGCCAAGCCCAAATTACCTTCCAAATCCTATCCTGATGATAATGCGAGGTACCCATGAGATAGTTATAAGCTGATTTCACTGGAAAAAAACCCATCTTGGCTACCTGCCCGAATAACACGGTCTGGAGAAGGATCCACTGTAGGAGGGAGCACACTACGAATCTTGTCTAATACTGAAGTAGGAAGAAGGTGCTGAAATAAAGGCCAGTCCCAATTACCATAACAAGTTACAAATTGAGACGTAGACCAATGAGTCATAATAGGAGGAATAGGTTGAACGGCCAGAGAAACAAGTTGAGGACATCCTGGCACCCACGAATCCATCCAAAAAGACGTATGAACCACATCCCCTAAAATGATACGAGAATTCTCTAGAGTTTGAGGCCAATACTTAACAATAGCCTTTCATAAACCAGAATCATTTGCTGAAGCCGAGATACTTGGAATGAGCCTTTCCTCCACCTTATACTTGCTACGAAGGACCCGAACCCATAACGAATTACGATCGGTCATGATACGGTGACCTAGCTTCATGATAAAAGCCATATTATTCTCTTTAATTTTACGAAAACCAAGCCCCCTACATTCTTCGGCAAACAGACCGTCCCAAGAAACCAGGTGAACTTTCCTTCGTTCAGAAGTTGATCCCCAAATGAAATTCCTAGTTACACTCTCAATACGACCACACGTACCACTAAGAATAATACAAGTTTGCATAGGATATTGAGGAATTGCAGTAAGAACTGACCTAGCCAAAGTTGATCTTCCTGCCAATGAAAGAGTACGTTGATTCCAGGCATTTAAACGAGCTTGCATCCGATTTAAGATATAGCCAAACATACTCTTTGTAACACGGCTATGACGAAGAGGAATACCCAAGTATTTACCCAAGTCATTTGTAGGAGAGTAGCCCATCAACTGGCTTAGATTCTGCACTCGGGTATGATTAACGTTTTTGGAGAAGAAGACTTTTGTTTTTTCCTTGCTAACCTTCTCACCAGAGCACCTACAAAAACAATCAAGAATCTTATTAATAATAACAGCTTGCCCTTCTGTGGCTTCTGTAAAGAGCGGAAGATCATCTGCAAAAAATAGATGGGAAAGCAGTGGTCCCCTTCTATTCAATTTGATAGGCTTCCAAACGTCCTCCTGAACTGCTACATTAATCAAATGAGCAAGTCTTTCCATGCAAAGGATGAAAAGATAAGGAGACAAAGGATCTCCCTGACGAAGACCTTGATTAGGAGAAAATTCTGTCGTAGTTGATCCATTCCATAACAAATTCATTGTACATGACGAGACACAACACAAGATCAGAGAAATAATATTCTCAGGCAAACCAACATCCACAAGCGTGTCTTTCAGAAACTCCCAAGAAATCTTGTCATAAGCCTTTTCTAAATCAACTTTGACAGTCATCCAACCCTTACCTCCTCTCTTTTTATTCATGGAATGGATGATTTCCTGAGCCACAATGATATTATCCGCTCCTTGTCTACCCTTAATAAAACCACATTGATTAGGCTTAACCAAGTGAGCCATATGAAATTTCAGCCTATTAGCCACAATCTTAGTTACAGTCTTGTAAATAACATTACAAAGGCTAATAGGTCTGAAATCTTTAAGTAATTCAGGCACATCAATCTTAGGAATCAGACAAATCAAAGTTTGGTTAACCTCTTTGATATTATCCGGATGAAGGAACACATCTTTCACAAAAGAGATAACTGACTCACCCACCTTATCCCACTGAGATTGAAAGAAAAGAGCATTAAGCCCATCCTTCCCAGGCGACTTGTATGGACCAAAAGAGAAGACTACATCTCTGATCTCCTTACTGTTTGGCATAATACTCATCGTGTCTAAAGCATGCGCTTCAATAACTGGAAAAAGCCACGAACTGGAAAAGCCGGTTTAGGTAATGGATCTTTTGTGTACAGATATTCAAAGAAAGAAACAACCATTTCCATTAAAACCTGCTGATCACCAATCCAAACTCCCTCCGAGTTTTTCAACGTATCTATGTGATTCCTCCTACGTCTGGCAACCGTCACAGAGTGAAAGAAACGCGAGTTCCTATCTCCAAGAGCAAACCAATTCAATTTCGATCTTTGAAACCAAGTGATTTCCTCTTGAAGATAAATCTTGTCAAGTTCCCTCCATAGATCCTTTTGCAACATCTCAAGGCTATGACTGTACTGATAACTAAGACATCTATCAATACCTCTAATCCTTGCATGCAAATCATTCTTTCTTTTTAGAGCAATCCTATAAACATTTATATGTCATTCCGAAGCATTAATCCGAAATGTCTCCATAGCATGCATCCAGTTTACATTGTTTGACCAACATCCATTAACCACCTCATGAAAAGTGCTCTCTGTTAACCAGGACGCTAGAAAACGGAAAGGACGCTCCCCTCTCGGATAAATAGCAGGTTGACCTTTCCATAATAGCACTGGTCGATGATCTGAGCCAAAGAAAGGCAAGTTGAAAGCCACACGGTTAGGGAAAACCAAGTTCCAATTATCATTAGCGCAAACCCTATCAAGACGTTCCTGAAGATTTCTTCTTTGCCAAGTGAAAATAGGACCTTGATTGCCAATGTCAGACAAGCTACATTCATCTAAACAATCACGAAATTCTCTCATGCTATTCCAGTTATGCCCATTACCACCTAGCTTCTCATACTCATACAAATAAGTGTTAAAATCACCTGCTATCCCCCAAGCTGCATTCCTCATGAACGGATCAAACAATGAAGATAGAATTTCCCACAGCTGAATACGTTCCTGTCTTCGCGGACTTGCATAAATAAAAGTCATGAACTCCTCTCTATTTTCTTTTACCCAACAAATTTTAGTATGAACAAGTTGGTGATGAGAAAAAAGAACATCCACTGAAACTTCATCAGTGTTCCAAAGCACCCAAATACCGCCAGAAAAACCAAAAGCATCACGATGAAAGTGACCAGAAAAACCAAGACGCCGAATAGCTCTATCCGCCATAACACCACTCAATTTGGTTTCTAATAAAGCCATAACCTTAATACTGTATCTATGAGAAAGATCCCGAATCAGAGGCGAAAAACTCCTTTTCCCAGCCCCTCTACAATTCCAGGTCAAAATATTCATAAAAACAATCTTAAATTTATCCGAACAGAAACCGGCTCTAAGAAAGAGCATTAGTATAAACCGAAGTTGCACCCAAAACGTCCAAATTATCCAAAGGGATAGAATCCTTGTGAGTTTGATAAAAATTCCTCATTAACGTAAGAGCATCTGGTGGTCTTCCATGTTTACCTCCATTATCCAAGCCACTAGAAGAAGGAAGAGTCTCTTGCTGATCATTAACCACATAAGACGTCTTCCTTTGAAATTTAGATAAAGAAGGGTGCAAGACAATTTGTCTATCTTGGAAATCCTCCGACATATTCTTCTGAGAATCAAGTTTAAAATTATTCTTTTGAGATTCTGCACCTTTTGAAGCATTTAATCCGCCTTTGCTAATATTAGCATTCTGGATCAGCTGATGAACTTTAGCAGATGATGCAATTGCTTTCTTCTTTTGGTTCTATTTGAATTTTACTCCTTGACTTTGGACCTCTTTTCTCGACTTGCCCGCTGATAGGTTTGCAGATGGAGAAACTGTTTCCATTTGAATATCCTTTTTCACCAACGGTTCTTCATTATGAGCAATTAATTCCCCATGATTAATTCGTGTCAGACCAGATTCAATGCTGATTGAATCAATCACTGGAGAATCAGAAATAATTAAGATATTATTATCCTTTTGAGCCAACTCAGCAATAGCTTGAAATCTTGAACCTGATTGAATGACCTGTATGTGATTAGGATGAGAATTGGAAACTGCCTTATTACGTAACGCTGCATTATTAACAACGCCAACTTGTCTCTTACCCGATGGTAATGATTCCTCCTTTGATTGTGCTATGCTCCTTGATCGACGGTTACGCTGCACCAGCATCCAATTCCCAAACGGTTCCTCCTTCGCCGGAACAGAATCTTTTTCCAGCTGCTTATGCACCACCGAGTCAGAAACTTCAGGAGAATAAGCCGTAATATCTTGTTGAAGATTACTATGGGAACACTGATCCCTCCTATGCCCATACTTTCCGCAAGCAAAACAAACTAAGTGGAGACCCTCATATCCAACGTGGAAGATACGATCAGCAATCCAGAATTTGGACAAAAAGCCTTTCCTAAGATCAACTTCGACACAAATTCTAGCAAACTTTGCTCTCTCTGTAATATCACCTTCACCAGAATCACATTTCCTGATAGAGTTCCTATCAATCTTCAATGTGCGACCAAGAATACTACCTATATTCCACAAATGATGAGACGTATAGAATTCAATAGGAAGTCCTGGAATACGAATCCAAACTGCTAGCTTTCTGATCTCATCATCATAAGGATTAAAAAATGGACACCACCGTTGAACTACCACATAATGATCAGCTATGATCCAAGGACCATCCTCCAAAACATGAGAGTAATCATTCTTATTTGAAAATCGGAACAAAAAGTAGTCATTCTCCAGATCAATGAATTCATATGTGCCTGAGATATTCCACATTCTCAGTAAACGATTGAGTAAGAATCTAACTCCAACTTTCTTCCCCAGAAGTTTCACAATCACTGCCTGTCTCCAAGGTCTGCAACCTTCTAAATGCAAGGCTTTTGGAAAAGAGTACGTTGGGCAAAGAGGATCCTCCTCACCATCAACCGAAACAAAGACCTCATCCCCTTCTTCTTCGTCCCCTTCCTTACGTAGTTTTTCTACCCAATCTTCCTCATCGCTATCAGCAACATGGGGTCCTCCATTAAAACCAAGAAGAGAATCTTTATATGACACCAACTTCCTGTTAGATGAATCACCTGACTCCTCCTTCTTTTTTCCCTCGTTGCTAGTCACATTCACCTGGATATCCTCCTCTGCCATGTGATCCATAGGTTGATCTTCCATAGCAGGGCCTTTAGGTTTTTTTGTGCTTCGATGGAGAAGATCTTCCTCCTCCGCCGTAGCATCTCTCGCCTCTTTGCCGGTTTCTCTCTCTTCACTCATCTCTCGACTAGTTGATTTGTATAAATCTCACGTACTTTTATATATGTGTAAAAATTATCTCATGAGAGATATTAAACAAAAAAAAGCCAGTTATCAGTAAAAATATTTTCTTTAATACCATGGCTAGCATTTTAATATGGTTTAGTGTTGAACTCAATGTTGCGAGATTGGTTTTACTATCTCTCAGTTGTGTTCAACTTCTTATAATAATTCAATGGTCATGAATAGAAACTGCATATTGGTACTATTGCCATTGCTTATGATGTTGAGTCATGGCTGCATTTGCTAACACATTATGGTGTTACTATTTAGTGTACTGGCCTTTATGTGAGTGTCTTTCGGAGTGATTGTATAAATGGATAGACTGCAGAAGGAAATGCCATTTCATAAAATGTGTTAAACATTGATTTAAGCGAAGTAGAGTTGCAGAACTCATATTCAAACATTGGGGAAGTGAGGTCTCGTTTGGCGTCACCAATGCAACAAGAGGGAGTTAACAAATTGAGACTTTTCAGATTATAATTCTTCTAAGAAGCTTTTGTCTTTTAACAACCAAATTTTGTATTGATCTAATCAATTAGCTAATCTTTAGACTCAAAAATGGAAATGCAAGCAAACAGAGCAAGTTAATACATAGTGTTCCCGATTCAGCTGTATAAGGATTACTATGTTTAACCAAACACTAGGGCTACACAATGAAAAGCACAGACATTTACATACATACGGAGGATCATCTATAGAAGAATAGGATAACTCTTGTTGTACAAAAGGAATGCAGTGATGATCAAACTAGGCCTCTTAGAATGTTGAGCTACCCTTTATTGATAGTTTCATGTTTTTAAAACATAATATTTAGATATACGAGAGAAGTTGAAATACACGTTCTTAATAGGTAACTAAGAAACGTTTTGTTTATTAGGGAGAGCGTTAGAGTAGTTGCTTGTCAAGCAAATTCTTATTAGTTATAAATACTTTGTTTTGTGTAACTGTTAGGGTTGTGAAAATGAGAGGTTGAAATAAATTGCCTAGGAAAGGAGCCTCCTAGCTTAAACCCTCATGATTTAGTGAGATGCAGTAAGGGATAGTAGTCATGTATGTCTGAAATAGAAGAGATCGAGATTACTAGAAAACATTATCATATAATCTTGTTTTAATGTAGTGTTATACCTAGTAATTAAAAAAAGACCCTCTCTAATTTTTATTTTTTATTTTTTTCATTTCTCCTCCACCCGAATAGTTCGGTCAAGCTGGATTGGATATATAAGACGTGAACTCAAGACAACTGATTAAGTTAGAACAATTCCTATATACTTGATAGTTGTTAGAGAAATATAATATAAATGGTTATTTATGGTAGTCCAACTAGTTCTTATACACACATATAAGAGCTCTCCACCAAACTAGGGTTCAACCCCATCTTATTGACATAGGGACCTCTTAAGCATTATGAAATATGCTATATGGAGTCCTTCGTACACTTGTTATCAATTTATTTTATTTTATTTTATTTTTGGTTTTTCAACCTATTCATCCATTGCTCGACTAGTCCAGTTCGTTCTGTTATGAATTTAAATTATATAATATATCATCATCGCAGCATTATATATAGTTAAAATGATACATAGGTTTAATTGTCAACCTCATACTTTTATTACTTCTATTTCTCCTCCAATTTTTCACATGAAGGAAACTTACCAAGTTGTGAACATTAGTGTGTGTATGAATCATGCGCAAGGTTCTGCAGAACACAAAGAAAACTTGTCTAAGTTCACAACCCAAATCATAACCTACTGCTTTCAGGATTTGGAAGAGGAGGTGAGGAAAAGAAGATGATCTGAATACCTGTTCCTGAGAGCGGAAATACATAAAGGGTGTGTAATATAAAAAATTTGACACCCTAGAGGTATATATATCAGCATACCTGCAATTCAGATAAATTTAAACATTCCATTATCAAGAAAGCACATATTCTGGAATAATAGAGATCAGGTGCATCAAGAAGAAATCACATACTTCTCAATTTGTCTCATCAAGTGGCTTTTATCCCACAAACCAGCACGTGATAGAAAACCCCACCTAACGTATAAATATACCACCAAGTGAATACCTTAGTATGAGGTAATAATGACCGAAATACAAATTACAATGATCTTTGAGTATTTTAAAAGATGTCAGGGACTATTTCAACCTATGACAATTTAAATAAAATCAATCATTAGTCTCAAATTCTTTCCTATGGCTAATCAATAATAAAAATAAACAAGTTTTATATATACAGCCATGTTGCAGAAATTAATAATAGCTAAGTACGATAAAGAATTTCTAAATCAATAGCTCTATACTTTGAACTCACCTTTTATTGAAGAGCTCCCCATCTGCCTCTAGCATTGGAGCTATTTTCTCATCTAGTCTTTGCATAACAATAAGTAGCTTTTGCATGCTTTCAGTAAGGTTTTTGTCGTCCATGTTAGTTGCAGCAAGGGTCTTTCATTACATGGAAAATCTTACTATCAATATTAATGAAAACATATTGCTATCCTTGAATAATTACTCATACAAAATTTATCTGGTCAAGTTAAAAAAAAAAAAAAAAAAAAAAATGGCATTCTCATTAGCTCTAAATCAAGAACCACAAAAAGCAGACAAGGTTAACCCTGGGATAATTTCCACCATGTTTTGAGCTGCATGGACATGAGAAGCTTAGTTGAAATTCGAAAAGCGAGAAGGCTTCAAGATAAAAAGAAAAACTACTCCCCGTTAAACTCGACTAGCGAGTGTGGGGTGGAGTCAATCCTTATACGCAGCCTTACCCTTGCATAATTGCAAAGAGGTTGTTTCCTGGATTCGAACCCATGACTTTTCAGTCATGAAAGAACAAATCATTCCAAAATCCAAGAAAGTTATAAATAGGCTAATAATATAAAACACACCAGCCTTAATTAGAGTTATTTGTTAGAATGAATAATGACTGTATTGGTATCATATTTAGAACTGAATGAAGTAAAGGTTGACCATGTGGGCAATAACATAACAATGCAAAAGAGAATTCTTAATCAACAGTGGCAAGATGTACGTGCACAAATAAGCCATAAAATATACAATATATAATACGAATGTAGGACCAAACTTACATGAGCAGGACACCATTTACTTCGCCTCTGCAGAGCCAGCCGAAGTTGGTTAAAGAGATCACCTAAAACCTCCTTTTGATTTATAAGTTCCACCAATGATTGTCTATGACTCTGGCTTCGAATTAGGGCACTGTACTGCAGTTTTAACATTTTATAAAGCACAAGGACATTTTCAGCTTTGGAAACCAATTGAAGCAGCATATTTTCTCAACAGAGTACATATGGTTCAACATAAAGAATTGCTGAAGGCAGAAACTGCATTTTGACTCCAAGTTAACAAACAGTCATAATTTTTCCTTTCTCAGAACATTAAGTATATGACTTTTTCAAGCTAAAGAGAAAAATGAAATTCTAGAGAACAAAATTGAAATATAATCAGAAAATTAAGCCAAGCATATAAACGGATTACTAACCTCTTCTTCCAGTTCCCGACAAATCAATGCTGTTCGCCATCGCAAATGGACTTTGGATTGACTGACATCAGTATAAATATGGTCACCAATATACAATATCTCATCTCCATGCATATTTAGGGATTTTTCAACCAACTGTGCACTTCCCCCTGAGTACAAACCGCCTACAGAATATGGCAAATAAAGTACCACAAAGTTAAATCATCTTAAAAATAACTTTGACTGTAGCACATCAAAAAGTCAATTCATTGTCCATATTCACAAGTAAAATTAACAGATCCATTATGTTTAGTGAAAATCAACGTGGTGGTTACTTAAGGGGGTTAAACTTCACAAAATGATTCCAGCCAGTACTCCTTGTGATTAAAGGGAAAGGGAAAATGGGCTTACCTTATAGGAATTACTTCTGTTCCACCAACCAACGATGCAGTCTACTAAAATTGGGATGCAGAAAACTTCATTGTCACGGTTTTGTTGTGTTACGAACAAAAATACAAGGGAACCTAACACTGGAAAAGTTATACCAGAAGGCAGAAGCTAAGGCAGTCAGTTGGATTAATTGAAAGCTTTAATTAGGAGCCTAGATTAGTTAGTCAGTTAGTAGGAGGCCAGTCACAGCAGTCCAATTGCACGTATATTAGGAGTAGTTTTTGATAATTTTGAGTTTGGCTGAGAATTTCTCAAAGGAAGGGGAGTTCCCCTTGTGAAGAGCTTGTCTCTTGCACTTTTGCTTTTGTATCAATTAAGTCTCTCCTATTATCTTTTTCTATCAATCCGTAAAAATTCTCTTTTTTTCATATATGTTTCTCATCTCTATCAAACCAGAGTCGTTACAGGTTGATAAACTTGATGGATCCCAAATAGGCCGAACTTATGCTCATGAAATTTAAACAACTGTCCAAGAGATGTATTTTGACCTCCAAAATTCAGTTATGATGAAAAGAAAACGAGAGTCATATGATGAAATCCTTGTATGTGAATTACATAGCAGAGACTCTAATATATACAAAATATATAATTACAAGAATCTCAAATATCCTAGTTACCTTAATTGCAAGATATTATTAGCCTATTTACAATATTTACATATTTTCCATCAGATTACAATGCAGACTATTATCAAACATGTCTACAATTTGTGACTCATGTTGGACTTCCTCCTTCAATGCTAAGCCCAAGCCCATTGAGGGGTTTCCTAAAACCCTAAACCCTAGATCTCACCTCCTCTATATATTCATTAGTTGAGGGTGGAGGCTAGGTTAGAGATTAAGAGAGAGATTAGAAATTTGAGAGAAAATTGTTTGAGCAAAGCTTTATACTTTGTATTTGAGAGATCTCTAGAGAGAGTTTGAGTGAAACATCTCTAGGGAGGTTTGATTATCACCATTGTTTGAGAGATTGAGTTAATCACCACATTGGTGATTCTGATTATTTGTAACCATTATTTTCATAGTGAATTTTTGATCTGGACTAGGTTCCGTGGGTTTTTACTTCTTCATTGGAGAAGGTTTTCCCACGTTAAAAACTGCTTGTGTTCTCTCTCTCTCTCTCTCCCGTTTTTCGTTTTGATTTTCCGCTGCGTTGCCTGACCTGGTGAAGTTCAGGCCGAGGTATTGCCGAGATCCAGGATCTCATTGACTGACTTCCGCAAAAGGCCCCTGAGCCGATCTGAGGGAACCGAGTTCCCAACAATGGTATCAGAGCCCGAGGTCGACGGGTTCTGAGGGAGACGAGATGGAGACCAGTGGCATAACTCATGATGGAGATATGACCGCAGACAATTTCACCTATTGGAGACCGATGATGGAAGTTCATATCTACTGCAAAGATTTACATGAGCCCATTATCCGTGATGGGAGACCGGAAGGCAAAACCGATAAGGAGTGGGAGATTCAGAGTCGTAAGGCGGTAGCTACGATCAGAAAGTATATTGACAAAAGCCTCTTTGAGCACGCGTCCGAGTTCACGAACGCGTATGAGTTGTGGACGAAGCTGGAGTCCATGATTCAGAAGAAGACTCCCAGGAACAAAGCACATCTGGTTCGCCGACTTGTGAAGCTTGAATACAAGGACGGTATGAGTATGATTGAACACCTCAACACCTACAAAGGTATTGTGAATCAGCTGTCAAAGGCTGAGATGAAAATTGATGACGAGATGCAGGCCTTGCTACTGTTGAGCTCACTGCCAGAAAGCTGGGATACTCTGGTGGTGACCTTGAATAATTCGACTTTAGATGGAAAATTGAAGATTGATGTCGTGACAGACAGCCTCTTGGGCGAAGAAGCCAGGAGAAGAGAACAAGGTATTTCGAGCACGTCTGAGGCCAACGTTGCTGAGAACAGAGGTAAATCCGAATCCGGGGGTAGAAGCAAGAGCCGGGGTCGAGATTGTGATAGAAGAGGAAAGTCCAGAGGTCGGTCAAAGCCGAGATATGAGTTGAAGTGCTTTTACTGTGGAAAGACAGGTCATAAGAAGCCAGACTGCTGGACTTTGCAGAATGATGAGAAGAACGGCTTTGTGCAGCAGGATCAGATTATTCCCAATAAGAGGGAAGCCAAGAGCACCACTGCGGTGGCTGCCAACTTGAATGCCGAGATATTCCTTCTAGGTGAGGATAATTATTTGAATGTTGCATATGATGACTGCACCTGGATTGTTGACTCCGGTGCCTCCTTCCACGTTACTCCACACAAAGGTTTTTTCTCTTCTTACCGAGGTGGTGATTTTGGAGTCGTGAAGATGGGAAATCAAGTGACCAGCAAGATTGTTGGTGTCAGTGATGTAACCCTGCCATAGATGTCGGATGCCGACTTGTGTTGAAGGATGTGAGGCATGTACCTGACATGCGATTGAACCTAATCTCGGTAGGCAAACTTGACGATGTCGGGTTAGTGAACTACTTCGGTAGTGTTAGATGGAAGCTGGCCAAGGGAAACTTGGTCGTAGCCCGAGGTGAGAAGGAAGGCTCCTTGTACGTGATGCAAGGAAAGATCAATGGCGGATAAGCCAATTCTGTTCGAGATGAACCTAGCTTGGAGCTATAGCACAAGCGCCTCGACCACATGAGCGAGAAAGGGCTCCAAATCCTGAACAAGAAAGGATTACTGACCGGGTTGAAAGGCCAAGCGTTGGAGAGTTGCACGCACTGCCTAGCTGGAAAGCAGCACCAGGTTTCTTTTGTGAGACTGGATCAACCCCAGACGACGCAGGTATATTCTTAACCTCGTCCATACTGATGTCTGCTCCATGTCGGAAAGATCCCTTGGAGGAGCTCAATACTTTGTTTCATTCATTGATGATCATTCACGCAAAGTGTGGATATATTTGTTGAAGTCTAAAGACCAGGTACTCCAATCCTTTAAAGAATTCCATGCAATGGTTGAAAGGGAGACTGAGAAGAAATTGAAGGTGGTCCGATCTGATAATGGTGGCGAGTATTGCGGCCCATTTGATGCATACTGCAGAGCGGCCGGGATTCGACTTGAGAAGACGACCCCCAAGACTCCACGGTTGAATGGACTCGCTGAGAGGATGAACAAGATTATTGAAGAGAAGGTCCGAAGCATGTTATCCAATGCCGGATTGTCGAAATCTTTCTGGGGAGAAGCCGTCAGAACTGCTGTTGATTTAATCAACCTCTCACCATCACGGCCACTTGAAGGAGAAATTCCAGAAGAAGTCTGGACAGGTCGGAAAGCGGCCTATAATCAACTGAAGGTGTTTGGATGCCGAGCCTTCGTGCATATCCCTAAAGATGAAAGGGAAAAACTCGATGCGAAGACAAAAGAATGCAATCTATCTTGGTTCGCCGAGATGTGAGTTCAGGTTCCGACTTTGGGATCCAATCAATAAGAAGATAGTGAGAAGCCGAGATGTGATCTTTCATGAAGATGAGAACATTCATGACATTTCGAAGCCCAAAGTCCGGGTTACTGTCAAACGTGAAGAACCCGTTCCTCCTGTCCGAGCTGAAGCAGGGGGAAATCAAGAGAATGAAGAAAATGATGACCAGTAACAAGCTGATGATGACCAAGACACTGAGGTCTGAGTTGATGATGAGATCCGGGATGAAAATGATGAACCGGGTTCTCAAGCTGAAGAACAGCCGGGATATCCAACTCGAGAAAGAAGACCCTCTACAAGGTACCCATCTGATGAATACACCGTTGTTGCTGAAGACGATGAGCCTCAGAGTTATGATGAGGCTGTAATGAGCTCAAAGAAAGAAGAATGGAAAAAGGCAATGCAAGACGAGATGAAGTCTCTGCACGAGAATCATACTTATGAGCTGACCGAGTTTCCTGAAAGAAGACGAGCACTGAAAAATAAATGGGTCTACAAGATTAAGAATGAAGAGAACTATAATAGCCCTAACCCAATTAATTAGCAAATTACATGTAGTTAAATAATTAAGCATGTTTTAGTGAGTAAAATTAGGTATAAGGCTTAATTAAATGAATCTGAGTCACTTTGGAGTTAAAAAGTGTACTCAGTGAAAATTAAGGGGTATAAATGGGTACTGGCGAAAGTGCCCAAAATATAAAAATAAAATTATAAATATTCCTAGAATAATATTCCAGACTTTTGGGTAAAGTTTGGTAATTAATGGAGTTGGATAGATAGATGAACTAATACCCACATGTTACCACTTAACTAATGTTAAGTGATAAAACAAGAAAGAAGACCCATTTCCCACCCCTAAACCGTCGAGCAATCAGAGAAGAAAAGAGGAAGAAGGAGAAGGAGAAGAAAGGGAGAGAGAAGAAGAGAGAGAGGAGGGAGCAAATCCCAACCGTTTTGGGTGATTCAAAAGCCTAAACTACTCTAAATCTTCCCCTCTTTCATAATTCTGGCTTAGTTTTGAGTGGGGAGCATTGTGGAGAGAGATATTGCCTCTCAAAAATTCGGCCCTTTGGTGAAATTTGGGGTTTTGAGTGCTTCAACCTCCATTGAAGCTTGAGGAGCCATCAATCCTTGGTTGTGCAACCATTGGTGGTAAGATTCTACCCCTTGAACCTTATTTTCATGGAAAATTGCATGAGTTAGGGTTCAATGAATAGTAAATTGGGGTTTTGATGAAATGTTGTTAAATTAGCTATGTTATAGGAAGAATGGAGCTTAGAGCATGTTGTGAAAAATGCTAGGAACGACGTTTAATCGGTGAAAATGAGCTTAGATAGCTAAATGAGTATATTTGGAAAATGGCAAGAATATGATGCTTGATATTGGACTTTCTTGCAATTGTACTCAATGGTTTGGTTGATTGATGATTGTGTCCTAATGATGTCTAGGATTGAGGCATTTGGACCAACCGTAAGTGATCAACCATTGGAGCAAGCTATGGAGCTTAATTAGCTCCATTGGATAGGTGAGTTCATGCTTATGTTTGGTATGAATTGTATAGCTTGGTTGATAGCTATGAGATGTTATTGGATGCAATATGTGTTAATTGCATTAAACCTTGTGTAGGTTTTGTTTGAGAAGTGGAATATCGTAATTAACGGGCTGTAGAATCCGTGGGTGGTGAACAAAGGTCGAATTGAAGCTTGAGGTAAGCCTTCGGACCTTGGGTGTAATTCCCTTGACTGTTCCACCAAGCCCTGAAAGGGTAGAGGTTGTGATTGTGTATATAAATGCAATAAAATAGTGTAATGCTTTGTTATACGTATGTGTATGCATTTGGTGTGGCATAGGATGGTGTTTCCCTATGTTGGTATGTTGCATGACGATGCGTAAATCATACTTGGTAGTTAGCTGGCCAGTAGGACTATTTGCATCTGAGTTTCCTTAGGACAGCTTGAGAGCTCGAGGGATTTCTCCTGGAGATGTTATTGCACTTTGCATAGATATGTATTTATTGCATTATTGTTGTTATTGCTATTACACTGATATGGAATTGTGGGGTGGAGAGATGCTCCAAGGACCCCTGGTTTACTGGATATATTCGTATATCTCACCTCGTGTTGTGGGGACTCCCTTTCAGGTAAGGATGCTGCAGGAGCCTCTGGTGGCAAGTGGCGATATCTGGATTAGCCTATGCATGAAGTGTTGCATTTTTGAGATCATACATGTTGTTTTGTAGCTCACATGTATAAATTGTAATTAATAGGCAATGATAGATTTATGATTTGTATATTAGAATGGACTTAGCCTATGCTCATGCCTTTGGTCATCTCTTTTGTTGATGGGAGCCAAGGGAATGATCATAGTGTTTTGTAAGCTAAGTTCCATGATTTGTAATGAATATGTACTGTAAATGATGCCTACTTGAAATTCAATATATGCATGTTTGTTATGTATTGAGTTATTGAATTGGTTGGGCTGAGAATCAATTAGGTACCTTTTGTTTAAATTAGGAACGTTGAGAAAACAAAGGTTATGCTGCCCAAATTCTAGCTAAATCTCATGAGGAGAGGTGGATGAGTGCTAGGATTAAGTTTTGAGGCATGAACCATTGGGGTTGGAATGGGGATGCATCTTCCCCTAGACTTGGACTTGAAAAATGAGGGTAATGGAATTCCCTGGCAGCGCGCTTTAGCGCCCTGGAGCGCGCTTTAGCGCCCTGCTGCCCCTGTGAGAGCCAATGCTTTCGGCCTCCTCGCGCTGGAGCGCCCAGAGTGGGGGCTTAAGCGCCCAGGGTCGAGCGTTTGAGCGCCCTGGCTCGCGCTTGAGCGCCCTTAGCCGCTGAAAGAGGAGATGCTTCTGCCTCTGCGCGCTAAAACGTCCCAAATGGGGGCTTAAGCGCCCAGGATAGCGCGCTTGAGCGCCCTGATGCGCGCTTAAGCGCCTATTTATACTGAAAAACCTGATGCTTCCTGCCTCCGTGCGCTTAAGCGTCCAGATGGAGGCTTTAGCGCCCGATAACTCGCGCTTGAGCGCCCGGTAGCGCGCTGAAGCGCGCAGGGCCTGTGACCAATACTCTATTGTGTTGCTTCCAATTGTCATAACTTGGGCTACAGTGCTCCGATTTGAGCATGGTTTGAAGCCACGCGTAGCCAACGAAGAGATCTACAATATAGTAGAAGTTGTGAAATAAATAAGAAGTAAATTAATGGTTTAAAAATGGAATAAGAACATGATGTTAAGCTTGATTTATCTGATTCCGCAAGGTAATATGATTATGATCACGAAATTGGGCATTATAAATTCGGATGTTTTAAAATGAAAAATTTATCCGGATTTTAATTGAACCCATGTGATTGTAACTGCGCTTAATATCATAATGCGATGTTAACAAACCGGTTTTAGAACGGGGTGTTACAAGAACGGGCTGAAGCCGAGATACAAAGCCCGAATTGTAGTGAAAGGCTGCAATTAGAAGAAGGGTGTAGACTTTGAGGAGATTTTTTCTCCTGTAGTGAAAATGACCTCGGTCCGAACTATGTTAGCCATGGCGGCTTCGATGGACCTCGAGGTAGAACAAAAAGATGTGAAAACGGCATTTCTTCACGGTGATTTAGAAGAAGAAATATATATGGAACAACCTGAGGGATTCCGAGCTCCAGACCAAGAAGACTTGGTATGTCGATTGAAGAAGAGCCTCTATGGTTTGAAGCAAGCACCTTGGAAGTGGTACAAGAAGTTTGAATCATTCATGACTGATCACAAGTTTGAGAAGACAGAAGCCGTCCACTGCGTATTTGTGAAGAGGTATGAGGCCGGAGATTTTCTGATATTGTTGTTATATGTTGACGACATGCTTATTGTAGGGAAAGACAAATCAAGGATAGTCGCCCTGAAAAAGGCGTTGAGCTCGTCCTTTGCAATGAAGGACCTCGGCCCTGCAAAGCAGATTCTCGGAATCAAGATTATCTGAGATAGACAAAAGAAGCTACTGTGGCTGAGTCAAGAGAAGTATATTGAGAAGATTCTGAAGAGATTCAGCATGGACAAAGCCAAAACAGTGAGCATCCCCCTAGCTGGACATATAAAGCTGAACCAGAAGCAATGAACGATATCTGATGAAGACAAAGATGAGATGATGAAGGTCCCATACCAATCCGCCTCGGAAGCTTGATGTATGCAATGGTTTGCACTAGACCCGACTTGGCGTATGCTGTTGGAATGGTAAGCCGGTATCAGTCAAACCCCGACAAAGAGCACTGGGAAGCAGTGAAGTGGATATTCAAGTACCTCCGAGGTACGACCGACTTATGTCTCCGATTTGGAGAAGGAAAAGCTGAGTTGCAAGGCTATTCGGATTCTGATTTAGGGGGAGATTCTGACTCGAGAAAATCGAAGACGGGATATATGATGAGATTTGCCAGAGGAGCTGCCTCTTGACAATCAAGACTTCAGAAATGTGTTGCACTATCAACAACTGAGGCTGAGTACATTGCCGCTACTGAGGCAAGTAAAGAGATGTTGTGGATGAAGAAGTTCTTCATGGAACTCGGCCATGATCAAGACAAGTACGAGCTGGGTTGTGACAATCAAAGCGCAATCCATCTTGCGAAGAATTCGACCTATCTCTTCCGTACTAAGCATATTGATGTAAGATATCACTGGATCCGGGATGTGGTGGAAGGTGGAGAGCTCGAACTCGTCAAAGTGCACACTGACCAAAATTGGTCCGACATGATGACAAAGCCGGTTCCAACAAGAAAATTTGAAGACTGCTGTCAAGGAGCCGGGTTGATGCTGAAGCCGACGCATTGAAGTCGGAGGGGGAGATTTGTTGGGCTTCCTCCTTCAATGCTAAGCCCAAGCCCATTGAGGGGTTTCCTAAAATCCCTAAACCCTATATCTCACCTCCTCCATATATTCATTAGTTGAGGGTGGAGGCTAGGTTAGAGATTAAGAGAGAGATTAGAAATTTGAGAAAAAATTGTTTGAGCAAAGCTTTATGCTTTGTATTTGAGAGATCTCTAGAGAGAGATTGAGTGAAACATCTCTAGGGAGGTTTGATTATCACCATTGTTGGAGAGGTTGAGTTAACCACCACATTGGTGATTCTGATTATTTGTAACCATTATTTTCATAGTGGATTTTTGATCTGGACTAGGTCCCGTGGGTCTTTACTTCTTCATTGGAGATGGTTTTCCCACGTTAAAAACTGCTTGTGTTCTCTCTCTCTCCCGTTTTTCGTTTTGATTTTCCGCTGCGCTGCCTGACCTGGTGAAGTTCAGACTGAGGTATTGCCAGGATCCGAGATCCAGGATGTCATTGACTGACTTCCACAAAAGGCCCCTGAGCCGATCTGTGGGAACCGAGTTCCCAACAACTCATCCTCTATTCCGAATATTATAAAGGAGGACATTGGAACGTACATATTCCTAATGGTTATCAGTTATGCATATATGAGATAGAAACTGCCCAGGTATAAATAAATAACATTTTTCCCCTGTTAAGGATTAGAATACTTCCTCTGTCCCAATCTGTAAGAGTCACTTTCAATTTAAAGACAAGAAGTAAACTTAGGAATAGTGTTCAAAATAACACTCTTCAATTGATTTATATATTAAACTTTAAAATAAAAGTTTGAAGAAATATGTGATGTTCTCTATCAGAAATTAAGAATATTCTTAAACTTTTGTGGAAAAGCGAATGAGTCATACAATATAGGCATATGGAGCACTAATTACCAATTTGAGCCTTGAAGCATGGACGCATCAGACCCTCGCTTGTCACCACTTCATACATGGGGTGTAACATTTGGAAGAATTCTGGTTTCTGTGCTGAGACAATTACCTACTTATGAACAAGAGCAACATCCATACGCAACACTTATTTCACAAAAAAGATGAGGTTGTTGATTCAGGGCACCAAAATGAAGAGAATATTGTGTGTTTTTTGTTCTTCCAATGTCAAGAGGATAACTTCATATTGTATTAATAAATTATGAGAACTTACCATATCAAATAAATCTCGCCAATCCATATCACTGGGAAGGAATCTATTAAATGCATGCTGCATCATTGTGTTTGTATAGCGATAATCTGAATTGGTAATAAGCAGAAGTTTTTTGCCAGCCTGTTTCATGAAGACAACTAAGTAATGAGTAGAAGCAAACATCACATGCTATGCAAAGATAACATATTACAGGCAAAATACCTCCTTTTGATCCAAAAGTACCAACGGCAATTCCGGATCAGGCTCCACAAACTGTTCAGGGTTAGACATAATCTCATTCTGCATAAAATCAATAAGTCATTATGGGCAAATAAAGCACAGCATAAATATATCATCCTGGACAATGACGACACATGTATACCTTCAGGCGACCTTCTACATGTGCCCTGAAGAGAGCTTTTCCAACAGCCTGAAAGTCATGCCAATGGTAAAGAAAAGACCATCCCTAATCAAATATAATTTAACAAAGTATTTGCACCGTATTACCTTATAAAGCCCTTTATAATCAAAGGGGCCAAGATCTGATGGTATAGCCCCATCATTGAATCTGTCAACCACCTGAAAGAAATCAAATGACATGAATGAAGTTCATCCCAGTCAAATGTTGAATCAAATTAAAAGTTCACATTTGAGTAAATTAGATGCATACAAGGTTACCAGTTACAAAGAGACAAGAGTCAAACAAATAGACCGAGGCAGCTTATAGTTACAGGAGCTGCTTCATGTTAAAACGTCTCATCTTAATATGCTGGAATTCCCATTTGGACCTATTAACTACTTGAAAGAATAAAATATTTGGAAACCCTAGTTGATCCAAAAAGAGTCAATTAAGGAGACTTGACAGTTTTGTGACTTTCTGCTTACCCCATTAGGGTTCATAGATATAGCCACCAACACTCAATTTTTAGACACCAACATAACCCATCACCCTTTGAAGGGATAATAAAAGACCACATAAACTAAGATCTGAATGCTACTGCAAAATTTGCAGCACAATGTATAGGTTTTCAACAGCAATTGGAACACACCTGCATGTAGGCCACAGCTTCAGACACAGAGAACAATGTGTTGAGAAACTCCCATCGACTCTCCTGCCGCAGGTCCACCAGTTCTCTCCCGTACATCTCACTTCCACGCATACAAAATTAGGTAACACTACAGAAACTATTATTCCTGTTTTTGATAAATGATATCTACTAAGTAATTTATAGGTTAATATATATCTAACAAAATGAAGGCTTTGCCGCAAGGAAGTCAATAAGGAAACAGTAGCTGATCCATGTGCTTACATATAATGCACAAATTTAGTGTTAACTTATTTCAGAAGATGGAGTACTGGTGATATGTTGAATGTGTTCTTCTGAACAATTGAATATATAACTGCATTGTATCAACTTCCATAGTTCATCAATAACTCAATGCCAAATAGCATTATTTCTCTAGAGCGCAGTCTTGTAGAATCATTGTCACTTAAAGTGATATATATTTTAATAAGTTGTTACTTGTTGCAGGGTATGTTGGTATAACAAATTAGCAAGACTCTGCATGAATTTCCATTATCAAAAATCAGAATTACAATGCCCAACACTTACCTAACAGCACAAGTAGATAACATTTTGGTTCCATGCATGGCTCTTTTTACATAACCAAATCGATCAGCTTTAACCAAATTGCCTCTCTCTTTGTCTATGACAAGGCCTCTAATAACCTGAACAATTTAATGGAATGCAAAGATCACTTGGTCAAACGAGATAATACTAATCCTATGAATTGCTAAATGCTTCAGCTTGCCAGAGATAACATGTTACCAGGTCTGGATCAAATGCAAGTCCATCAACAGGGAAACCCATATTCTTGAGGTTTTCCATACAGTAGTCATAAGCGCGCCCTTCCCAAGCCTGAAAAAACACTTATCTATATCAGAGAAGTCCATTTATCTGTATACATAACACTAAAAAACATAAAGTTTCAGGAAACACATAAAAATAAATAACCTTTTTTATACTTATTGTTAGAGATATAAAATCATTCACGTGTTTGAACAATTTAAACTTTTGGGAGTGTTTGTTCATGACATGGTATCCTAGACTCAATGACCAAATGATCTAGAGTTCGATCTTTGCTGTCCCCATTTTAATAATAAAAAGTTTAATTTCCATGCTTCAACCTTTATAAAGGCCTTTGATATGGTGGGCTTGTGCATTGCCCACACTTCAATCACTAAAAAATGTTTTTTTGGTGTGGAGGGCCTGTGTATACTTCACGCTTCAAACCTACGAGACTCTTGGCATGAGGGGGTGCGTTATATATATAAAATCATTCAGGTGTCTTCATTTAACAGCTTAAACTTTTGATAAAGTTGCTTTATGACACTTGTATACTTCTACTATTTGAAGTAGAATGCAAATGATTTTAACATACATTAGCAAAAATTTTAAGCATAGTAAGGGGAAAATAATTTGTATTTTTACTTGTTTCATCTAACATTTATCTCTATGATTCTTTCCTTTCCATTGAACATGCACAAATTCCATCCACCAAAACTAATCCAACATCACTTTCTCTTTCCTTTTTCTCTCTCTTTTGTATGGGTGATAGATTTACCCTTGTGTGCCTATCTTTTCACCTTGCCACCACTATTAGTTTTGGCATGTTCAAGTAGACTAGGTCCTAAAGTTACACCAACACCACACCCAGAGCTCGAACACGCCACCACATACCATTTGACAAAATCTAACTAATTTAGCTCTTTCGTGTGTGTGATCTCGACCGCCCATCTCCCTTATTTTTGGTCGCCATCTCCGCTCACCTTGTAGTGGCCAATCTGATGACACCAACTGGATTGGTTAACACCCCTCCAAAGGGTGTTTAGTTGCGTTTTGGGTCTAATCGTCTCCTGACCTATATGTAGCGCTCTATTCATGTGTTTTCATGTCTGGTCTAACTTTCTCTTGCCTTTTGTCTTTAGGATGTTTGTTTGTTCTCCCAGCATCTACAGGTTGTTAAATCTTCATCTTCACTCTATTTCCTTTTAGGTATTGTTTTTTATTTATCCAATGCCATCATGGCATTGAGGGGGAGAGCAAGAATGATAAAGTTACATCTTTTCCTATTGACAATCAATCCCCACAATCCACTAATGATCATACCAGTGATGACTTTTCTTCCCATCGATGATCATTGTGATGGTAACTTATATAGCTGCAACTTGCACCGGCTCTATATCTGTCCCAGATGCAGTTTGGTTTCTGTCTTTATTCCATATGCAGTATGGCCCCTCTCTAGTCCCAAATACTCTTGCCTGCCTCTACAATATATTTTTACTTTTATTTCTTTTGATGTGTTTAATTGTAACAAGCTTAAAGCTTAGTAAAGTTAAAAATGAGGTGGAGTATTAGAATATCCAGAAAATATCTCATAATATCATTATTGTATCTTAAAATATCTTGAAGTATCTTGGATAATCTTGTGGGAATGGTTCCCACATTTTATTATATTTTCTAATTTGTTTCCATATTTGATTAGGATTATGTTCTGACTCTAGTAACGGTATAAATAAGGATTAGTACTTTTGTCTTTTGTATCATATCGTTATACACAGGAGAATATTATGTAGTGTCTTTATTCTCTATTTTCCTTCATCCCTACCTAAATCCCTATGGTTTCAACAATTACCATCACATTATAATGCATCAAGGTATAATCCATGTCATATCCAATGGCACTAATTGATCGTAGATTCAATGTACGGGTACAGAATATTCCACGAGGTGAATTTCTTGATGAAGAAGGGCTCTGCATGAGGACACAAAACAGTGTTATTTCCATAATGTACATTAAAAAACCTCCCAGACAAAATCCAAATACAGTAGATTGGGAGGGTAAAAGTACAGAAAGATGAAATCAGTGTGCCAGTCAGCAACAATTAATGAAGAAAGTAACAAGTGGTGAAAGATACACAGTAGGCCAGATCTGGAGGTAAAATAGAAATGTTAGTTCATTGCTAACTAGTATAAAAAAAAAAAAAAAAAACCCATAAAATTAATAAAAAATGAAGAAAAACAAATGTTTAAATAGTACAACGAAACAACAAATTAGTTTAGAAGCAAACAGAACAAACTCAGCATTATATACAATTTCCTCAAATCTGGCACACCTTTTTGAGTAAGGTTGATACTGATCTAATTGTTCACACGCAAGGGCGACAATCCCATGACAAAAAATAGAGTAATATAGTATTCATCTGCTAGGGCCTTGAATCACAAACAAATTAAGCGATAATATAAGCAAATTACATTAAGTCTCAAGTTTGTGAAACCTATGAAAACATCCCCTCTGGTTTCATATTATACAAAGGCCTGCATTTAGTTTTTTGTTAGAGGATGTTTAGAGAAAGTTGTGCAGGGAGTATGTGTATTTGAAAAAAAAAGAAAAGAAAAAGAATAGAAGTTATACACGGAGTAATTGTAGGAAATCTTAGATTTATGCGGAAGCGGTTTAGGACCTAGTACATTGGTATGCTTACCGAATCATCATCGTTTCACAATTACCTCTCGGTGCGCAGGTCTCGTGTAGAATCTTCCCTTGTAGGATTCCTCTTCACGAACAGCTCACCTCAGCGCCGCAGCACGAACAACCTCCTTGAAGCTGGACTGTGGCAGATCTTCCAGACTATCTCTCGAGGAGGATGAGATGGTTGTGTGGGCAACCGTTCAGATGATGAACGTCTGCCTCTTAGGTTTGTTTCTGATGATCTGATCACCTTGGAGGCACAAGAGGAGAAAACTATGAATATATACGCTTAGGTCTTAGACATAACTCAACCCTAAGCCTCATGGGCTCAAGTTTCACTGAAGCCCAATAGGACTTTAGTGACCAAAAGAGCATATATCCAACAATCTCCCACTTGCTCTTTAAGATACAAACTTGAGTTCGTAAACCCAAGACCATGTAGCCCATAAGTTATCATCATCTGATAATATACCTCATCCCTTGTCTCGAGCTAGCCTGGGGACCTACCATTTGTCATTGATCAAGGCTCCTGATAATCTTTACAAGATTATCTAATTCGGTGCTACTCCACTAAAAGCCCGAACGTGAACTCCAAGATTAATGACCTTTATAACATTAATATGCATTGCCCCTTTATAGAATGTCTATAATTCATTGATTAGTTTTCTGTAACCCAATCAATTATTTATTCCCTTGACTTTGATAATTTCTCTAATGGATTACATGCACTGGCCAGTGTCTTTAATATCCAAGTACCGAAATATATCAAGGGGACATTTCCTATAAATTCCTTGTTGTTTATCTCATAAATACTGATAATCAAATAATCTCACTCCCAAAACACCGAGTTATTGGCCGTCAAAAGATCGGACCTCACCCGTTGGTAAATCAAAGAATGAAAACTATTTGATTACCTATTTATAATAAACTCAGGATTAAGAGCAATCACATAACTATAGTTAACTGGAGATTTGATACCTTATGACAGAAAAACAACCTTAATCAAATCTCTCCTTGATCCTTTCCATGTGAATGTTAATTCACACCAATATTTTACAATGATTCGGACAAAATCACTTCATAAAATATTGCAGCCTGAATGAAGTGCCCAACTTTATTTAATGGCTGTGACTTCATTCATCAATTGTGAGATCCTATGATCATGTCCTCCATGAACGTATCCATATGATCATATACTCCACAATTTGATCCGGACCTTTATGTTTGTAAATAGTGCGCAAAATAAATAAATAAAGCCTTATTTATGAAATTCAGAAAATTATTTTATTGTTTCATCGTCTTACTCCAAGAGCACAATGAAACCAATAACTCCCACTTGCTTAATGCAAGTCTGGGATCCTCCTAAGACCCAAAGAAGTAACATGCCTCTCGAACACAAGTTCAGGCAAACTCTTAGTAACTGGGTCTGCAAGATCCACCTCTAATGCTATCTGAGTTTAGTGAAAAACTCATAGCTCGAGGTTGATTTTCTTGAGTCAATATCCACTTGAAATAACTGAATTTTTGAAAACTCAGCTTTTCAAGACTCCCACTAGAATATACCAGCATATAATCTCTCGTTCTCCAAAGATACTTGAGTACATGCTTAACAATAATCTAGTATTCCTCTAGGTTCAAAATGGTACTATCTCTCTACTCCCACTGCGTGACAGATGTCTGGTTTAATGCCCAACATGATATGCATGAGTCTACCTTTGCCAAAGCATAAGATATCCTACTCATGCATTCTTTCTTCTTAGAAGTCTTTGGTTACTCCTTAGGAAGATGAATTCCACATCTGAGAATTATAATTCTTCTCTTAGAATTCTCATGTTGAATTTTGGCAAGAGTTTTGTCAATGTAAGTAGCCTGAGGTGATGCCAACAACTTATTCTTCCGGCCTCATAAGAGTTTTATACCAAGAATATAATTGGCTTCCCCAGTACTTCCATACCAAAACACTAACTTAGCCAACTCTTTATGCTTGATATTACCTCCACGTTGTTTCCAATAAGGAGCATATCATCTACATAAAGTACCAGAAAAAACTAATGTCTTCCGTTGGATCCTTTACATACAAATACACATCATTCATCAAGGTTCTCTCAAAATCAAAATTTTGATAACCTGATCAAAACTGATGTTCCAAGACCTGGATGCTTGCTTAAGACTATGAAATAGACTTTCACAACTTGCATACCGTGTGTTTCTACCCATTTGCTATAAACCCTTTTTGGTTGTAGTATGCAGATATCCTGACATCCAACTCCCAAAATTAAATCTCATAATTGAGACTTATAGCAACCAAGAGAATCTGGATAGACTCAAGCATGGCGTCTGGCAAAAAATGCCTAGCTTTGAAGTTTTTCACCTTCCTGTCCATCCTCTCTTTGCCTTTTATGTCCACATGCACCTTGTTGGTTTTACCCCTCTTGGTGTTTTTACTAGGACCGAACGGAGTTGAAATACAAGTATTTCATCTCATTGTTCATAGCTTGAGCAACACTTGATCAACAACATTTTCTAGTGCATTATTGTAACTAGTAGGATCAATGTCACTCAACAAGAGACAACTTGAGAGTTAACAAGGTTCTCTCCCACTACGAATGTACTGCACTAGACCTTGTGTATTTATAGGTAAAACAAAGAGTGGGTCAAATGATGGATCTTCAATTTCTTGAGGATCCGCTTATACTTGATATTGTTCCTTTACATGTGATACTAATATTTCTACTAGTTTCACTTATATATTATCATGTTGAATTTCCAATCATGGTTCTCTTGTTTGTTCACTTAGAGATATATTTATCCCCTCTTGAACAATCAAGGGAACAGTGGATGAAGCTTCTAGAGATTCTAGAAATTCTTGATCTGAGATAAATCTCATCAAGAATAACTTAACTTAAGAGCTTATAATTTCTTATCTAGTCCTCCTTTAAGAAAATCATGTAAGTGCTCAATTAGATTATCTTGTCCTTAAGACTAAATAAGAAATCATCCCTAGTTCTCTTAGGGTAGCCAAAATATATGCACTCTTCCATACAAGATTCCATCCCATTTGACTGTTGTTGTAAGACGTGTGTCGTAGCACCCTAAATCCGAATATGGTTTGATCTGGGCTTGCACCCTTTCCATAATTCTTTAGGTGTCTTTACAACAAACTTTTGATGGAATCAAGTTAAGAAGGTACATTTCCTTCTCTTAGGCATCTCCCTTGAACAACATTGACAAAGATGAATAATTGAACATGATCTTCACCAAGTCTAGAAATGTTTGATTTTTGCATACTGCAACTTCATTCAACTAATGCATTCTTAGAGTTGACAGTTACAAAAACTATCCCCTCTTAAATCAGGTAAGACCTGAACTTACCAGACAGGTAGCCAACACTTTAGTCAGACCAAAGTGTTTTTGATTTGAACACCTACATGCTTTTCTGCCTCAGACTAAACCTCTTGGAATTTCCAAAAGCTTTAGACTTATGGTGCACTTGGTTCATCTGTCCAAATCCAGAGTAAACATTCATATAATGAAGTACTCATCACCTCTTCTGTTCTGAACACTAATTGGTCCACATACATTAGTATGTACCAGTTCCAGTTGAATAGTTGCGCAAACCTTTTTGGCCCTTGTAGGATTGTTTGGCCACTTTACCTTCCAAATAGGACTAACATGTAGCTGTTAGTTAAAAGATTATTGAACTTTCAGTCCCTCTTTTAACTAAAATATGTTTCCTACTTGAGATAATATGACTCAATCACAAAGGCCAAAGTGATGTTTCATTTGAAACTTTTATTTCTTTGGTGAAAGTTCTTGTTCATCATCCTTTCCATTCAACATAACAAATTTAAAAAGGGTATAGGGCATAGGTAATAAAGACTATTTAAACAATGTACCAGAACAAACAAGACGAAGATGAACTTCGAAATGTAACTGCGGAATCAATTGCATTGTCAAACCATGTTTTAACCAAAACAACTAACAAAAATTGAATTCCTCTTGAAATCCGGAACAAATAAACAGTCACTCAAAACCATAGTCTTATAAATAACATGTCCTACTGCAAATGCAGACACAAGTTCCCATTTTCAAGCTTAAAATATCTATGTCCATTGCTGACAGGTATGCCATGTTTGAACTACTACAAAGAGTAACAAACATAATCAGTGATTCCTGAATCAATAATTCATTCACTCATCAGAGCCTGGGCTGTACATTGGTATGTGAATCTAGTTTCACTATTCATGTAATTAGTTTTGCTTCTTGAAATGTGGCACCTAGGGTTCTAGGATTATGGTATGAATCTAGCATGTGTATTTTATAATTCATTTTCATAAAAGTTTAAATTTTAATCGGTAAAAATGCTTTAATCCATGGTTAGGCCAATGCAATTTCTGAAACTAGATGGGTTGTTTGCATGGGCTTCATAAGCCTCCTAAGGGGAGGTCCATCTAATTTACCCTAGCTCTCCCCTTTAAGACTCCAAAAATATAAAGCATCCATATTCACAACTTATGTCAATGTAATCTCCATTATATTCCTATGGCTGTGGGTTGAGAAGAGGATACCATAATGCTGCATTCCTGCAAATAGGCACAAATGTCCAGATGATATGATACCACTTGATAAATTCACGAGAATTATGACACATTCATACTAATAGCATAGAACAGAGGACACCAAAGATTCTTTCAAGCCAAATATAAGCAACTAGAGAAGAAGCAACTAAGCATAAGGAGTAGGCCTACAGCACCTGAATACCCAAGTCTTGCAGTAAATCTTCAGCTTCTCTAGCCTCTATCCTAGCCACCTCCTCAACTGGACCTTCTAATGCAGCATGACCATCAATTCCTACATGGAAAACCAAGATTATGTCAACCATAACCCACATCACGATGTCCGATATTTGGCACTACCAGAAGAGAAATATTTGCAAACAATATCAATAATTTCTGACAAAAGTGTTAATTATATCATAATTAATGTTAGGTTTAATATAAAACTATTGAAATATAAAAAAAATTGTTTTTTTCTAAATTGATTCAAATGATTTTACACTGGTAGGGAGATTTATACAAGAGAGAATGAGAAAAAATTGATAAGGATGACTCAGCGATGAGTCATTAGTCCTATCCACTAATTAATAGAAAAATAAAAACGGAAATATTTTTAATTGTAATTTCCTACACTCTCCCTCAAGTTGGGAGGTAAATGTTGACCATTCCCAACTTGCCAATCAAGTCTTCAAAAGGATGGACGATGTAGATCTTTAGTGAGGATATCTGCAGTATGCTCTTTGGTAGGAACATACATCATATGCACACTTCCATCATCTAATTTTTCTTTAATGAAGTGACAATCAACTTCCACGTGCTTTGTTCGATCATGGTGCACAGGATTTTGAGCGATGCTGACAGTTGCCTTGTTGTCACAATATAGTTTTATTGGTTGGGAATACGAGATCTTCAACTCTTCAAGAAGTCTTCTCAACCAGATTCCTTTACAAACTCCATGAGCTAAAGCTCGAAATTCTGCTTCAGCACTACTTCTTGCAACTACTGTTTGCTTTTTGCTTCTCCAAGTAACAAGATTTCCCCACACATAGGTGCAATAGCCTGAGGTAGATCTCCTGTCCATGATGAGACTGCCTACTCTGAATCAGTGTAGATTTCAATGTCCTTTTATACCCCTTTCTAAAGAATAATCCTCTGTCTGGAGTGTTTTTGAGGTATCTAAGTACCCTATAGATTGCACAAAGATGTTTCTCCTTGGGTGAGTGCATGAATTAACTAACCATACTCACCGCAAAGGCAATGTCAGGTCGCTTGTGGGATAGATAGATTAGTTTGCCGACCAATCTCTGATATTGCTCTTTGTCCACCTCGTTCCCATCTTCAATACCTAACTTGGTGTTAGGCTCCACAGGTGTCTTTGTCGGCTTACATCTTAACATTCATGTTTTCAACAAAAGAACTAGAACATACTTCTTTTGTGTGAGAGTGATGCCCGTTTTATTCCGAGCAACTTCCATACCAAAGAAATATTTAAAAGTTCCAAGGTCCTTTAACTTGAACTGAGTTGCTAGGTATTCTTTCAAGGAGTTTAATTCCTCACTATAGTCAGCTGTAAGAACTATATCATCCACATAAACAATAAGAATAATGACTTTACCATTCTTAGAGTGTTTGTGGAAGAGAGTATGATCAGTTTGCGTTTGGATGAAACCTCTTCCTTTGACAGCTTGTGTGAATTTTTCGAACCATTCTCTAGGGGACTGTTTCAACCCATAGAGAGACTTCTTCAGTTTACACACTGATCCATATCCTTTTGCAAAGCTAGGTGGAGAATCTATATAGACCTCCTCATGTAAATCGCCATTTAGGAATACATTCTTTACATCTAACTATTGTAGAGGCCAATCTAGGTTGGCTACAAGAGATAAGAGAACTCGGATTGGCAACTGGAGCAAAAGTCTCATGATAATCTATCCCACGAATCTAAGTGAACCCCTTCGCAACCAATCTTGCCTTGTATCTGTTGATGCTATTATTTGCATTGAATTTTATTGTAAACACCAATTTTCATCCTACTGCCCGTTTTCCTTGTGGCAAGGTCACTGTCTCCCAAGTTCCATTTCTTTCTAATGCATTCATTTCTTCAAAGACAACATCCCTCCATTTTGGATCATTGAGGGCCTCATGTATATCTCTTGGTATCTTTGTATTATCCAACGTAGTGTTGAAAGCACAAAATCCTGAGGACAACTTTGCATACAAAATATAATTAGAAATAGGATGAGCAGTACAAGATCGAGTATTTTTTTTAAGAGCAACGGGCAAGTGTAGATCAGTTGTGTCATGGCACTAAGTGTCAGGGTGCTGGAACTAGAACTCAGTTCAAAATCCTGGCAGTGCAGAGATTCTGGGTTATTCACGCTTTGAGTGGGCTTTCGCCTGCTATAAACTTGTCCCCACTTTGAGGAGGCTCTCCCTGTCTCCAATGGTGAAGGTATTGTAGCTCCCCTTGTCTCCAATAGTAGAGGTAACACTGTGGCATCAGTAGGCTCCCATGACTTATCTTCATCTATTCCTATAGACTCCCCCTGAAGAGAAATCAAGGGAAAAAAAGGCTGAGTTTCAGAAAAGATGACATCCATAGAAACAAAAACCTTACGAAGAGAGGGTGAATAACACTTATAGCATCGTTGGGTAGGAGAATAACCAATGAAGACACACCAGAGAGACTTAGGATCAAACTTGGACCGTTGATGAGAGGGAATATCGACAAACACGACACAACCAAACAACTTGGGAGGTAGTGATGAGATGCCCTAGAAGGAGGGGAAGGTGTGGACAAGACTAGAAATAGGAGATTGAAAGTTGAGAGTACGAGATGGCATTCGATTGATAAGATATGAGGCAGTGAATACGGCTTCCCCCCAAAGGTATGTAGGGACACTCATAGTAAACATAAGAGCTCAAGCAACTTCAAGGAGATGTGCATTTTTTCTTTCAGCAACTCCATTTTGTTGGGGTATGTCAAGACATGAGCTTTGGTGAAGGATGTCATGTTGGGAGAGATATTCCCCAAGAATAGAATTGAAATATTCTTTGCCATTTTCTGTACGAAGAATTTGTATAGAAACTTGGAATTGGGCTTAGACCATGGCATGGAATTGTTTGAAAGTGAATGCAGTATTTGACTTATCCTTTAGAAGGTATACCTAACAAACTTGGGAGTGGTCATCAATGAATGTAATGAACCAGCACCTAAAATATTCTTTACTCGGGCTGGGTCCCATATGTCACTATGAATCAAAGTAAATGGGGAAGAGTCATGGCGAGCTCTGGACGGATAATGAACACGAGTATGCTTGGCAAGTTGACAAATATCACAAGAAAACAAACTGAGACTTTTGTTAATGAATAACTTTGGTAACAACTTATGAAGATAGATAAAACTAGGATGGCCTAACCTACGGTGCCACAGCATAACATCATCACAAGAGTCAGAGAGAAACATAGAATCGTTTTCCACGAAGGTAGCCTCATGCGTCACACTCTCCTCAAAGTAGTAAAGTCTGTCATCTTCTCTAGCACTGCCAATCATCTTCTCTGAGTCCTGTTCATGAAAAACACAACCATGTGCAAAGAATTTAGTGAAACATTGCAACTCAGAGGTCAACTTACTAATGGAAATGAGATTGCAAGCCAGATGAGGAACATGAAGAATTGATGTTAAGATAATTTGTTCGAAAAATTTGACGGTTCCGTGTCCAACAAGCAGGGAGAAACTGCCATCGGCAATTTTGATCCGAGAAGGTTTAGAATATAGAGTGTAAGAACAAACAAGGTCTGTTACCTGTCATATGGTCAGATGCCCCAGAATCAAGAATCCAACGAGTTTCATTGCCTACATGAAAGCCCATACCTTGTTGAGCCACATTTTTAGTGGCCTTAGCAGGTTGAGTCAGAAACCTCTGAAGTTGAGTTCTGCTGAGAAACACTCCATTAGAGTCAGCAGAGGCAGATGCGGAAGCGAAAGAATCGAACGAGAAAGACATCAATGAGGAGAGAAGGTAGAAATTTTATTTTATTTTTCCTTCTTTTTTTATGAATAGTGTTTCCGGCGTGAACAGTGTCGTTGGTGAACAGTACTCCGTCCGTGAACAGTACTCTGGCGCAGTGAACAGTGATTCCTGTATGAACAGTACTCCAGCCGTGAATAGTAACTCTGGCGCGGTGAACAGTGCTTTCAGCCTTGAGGATGGCTGGTCTAGGGGTGGAACGAACCCACTCTTGATACTATATTGAAATATAAAAAGAATTATTTTTTTCTGAATTGATTCAAATGATTTTACACTGGTAGGGAGATTTATACAAGAGAGAATGAGAAATAATCGATAAGGATGACTCAGCAATAAGTCATTAGTCCTATCCTCTAATTAATAGAAAAATAAAAACGAAAATATTTTCAATTCTAATTTCCTACAAAAACCTTTCATGTGTCTTTACCTAACATTTTAAGCTTTTGGGACAGTTTATGACATGGTATCCTCTATGACCAAATGGTTGAGTTTAATCCTTGATGTACCATCTTTCAGATAAAAAGTTTCGACACAAGTTAGGTGGGTCTGTGCATTGTTCACACTTCAAGCCCAAAAGACTCTTGCATAAGGGGGCATGTTAGAAATGAAACATAAAATCATTTATATGTCTTCATCAAACAATTTACGCTTTTGAGATAGTTGATTCATGGCAATTATAATATCCTTTATTGTAAATAATAGATTTATTTTATTATTATTTTGTAATAGTTAGAATACTCTATAAGTGTATTTGGGCTTAGCCCATTAGGTTTTTTAGTCTCTTTAAAAAGAGAACTCTTGTACAAATATTATACAATTCAATTATATACAAATCTTCTTTTCTAGTTGGTATCAGAGCTCTCGATTCTGAGGGCTCTGCTTCCGCAAATCACTACCTCTAAAAACCAAACCCTTTTGCCTCTCGCCGCCACAAAGCCGCCACCGGGAAAAAAAAATTCGGGGACCTTTTGGACCGTGAGGACCCCTGTTTCACTCTGTTTTCTCAGATCTATCATTCTACGGAGGTTTCTTTGTCATCAGACGACCGGAACAGCTTAAGCAAAAAACAAAAAAAACAAAAAAAAAAGTACTGTGTCATCGCGCACTGTTCACGCGATACTGTTCATCGCGCACTGTTCACCGGCACTGTTCATCGCGCACTGTTCACCGATACTGTTCATCGAGAAAAAAAAAAAAACAGAACTTTATTTTATTTTTCTGATCAACTATGTTTGGTAAGATTACACACCCTACATCTCTTCTT